GTGGGCCATGGATGGGAGTAGCTCGAGGCCCCTGCAGTGAGGGTGGGGGCTGGGGCAGGTGCTGCACAGCTGGGGTGAGGTGCAGGACAGCTGCAGCTCATCTGGGATGTGCGGGGAGGCAGTTCCTGCTGCTGTGTGCACCCCGAGGGGAGGCATGGGGGTGGGGCACATGCCTCCATCTGAGGGCAGGCTGCTGCTATGCACTTGGGGCCAGAGGCTGTGCCAGGCTTTTGCTGATGGAGGGGGCTGGGCCTAGGCTATGCTTGGGGTAGGCGTTGGCACAGAAAGGGGGACTACGACTAATTCTGGGGTGGCTGTGGCCCCCCCATAACTCCCCACTTCCAGTGCCACTGCCTCCCACCATGCTCACCCTGAACATGGCTCCAGCTTGGTGCATGTAGCAGCAGCCTGCCCTTGCCTCATGCACAGATGTGGGGGTAAAGGGGGCACACGCCCCCCCCTTGCCTCCCCTGGAGTGCACACAGTGGCAGGAGTGCCCTCCCCTCACTCCCCACATGAGCCATAGCTCATTCCTATGCCCTGCCTCACCATGGCTGTGCCCTTGCCCCACTCCCCTTCCTCACTGTGGGGGCCTGAATCTACCCCCCTCCACACCACCACCCCCTGACTTTCCAGCCAGATGGTGCTGTCCAGGCTGCTGGGCTGCATATCTGCAGTTGGATCAGTATTAGCTAATATGGCTGGTTAATAATTGACCGTTGTTATCAGCCCAAAAAATCTTTATCAGTGCACACCTAGCTTTTACTGTTTGGTTGCTTTTGTTTGCTTTTCCTATTCAGAAGACTTTTTCTTTTTTTTGGCTAGCTATAAACTTAAGGCTAGTATGCTTTATACTAAGTGTAAGAATGTTTTGGTTATCCCTTTGTTTTTGTTTTTGATATGGTTGCCTATAGAGCTGTCATTTTAAAAATACAGGGTATAACTATATTGCTTGAATATGCATCAAGCAATTCCTTGTTTATGGTAAATTGTATTTCTGTTCAGAGTATAAAATTTGCCGACCATACTTTTATGGTTGGCTTGGTTAGGAATGAAGAGCAAAGCCTTTTTATGGTAATAATCACCTCTGGATCTAGCTTTCTTCCAAGTCCATTGGATCTGATACTGTCACAAGGGGCATGTCCAGATGAGCACAGATGTCTTGTTTCTTGGGGTCCTGGAAGTCTTGGGGAGCTGCAGCCATGGCAGTCCTGCAGCTGGGAGCTTGGCCGGCAGCCGAAGTGTGGCTCCAGCTGGCCAGTGTGCACTGGTGCCATGTGTGTCACCTTGTGTTTTTTTGGTTTGCTTTTTGTGTGGATTTTTTTACCCTGGGACCTCCTGGGGTTACCCTGCCCACTGCAAGGTAGCAGCATAGGGAATGTGCAGTGTATGGCACCACAGACAGGTTTGCAGTGCCACATACCGCACACCTATGCTCATCTGGGTGCAGCCAAGAGGTACAAACTGAGGTAAACAAAAGTGAAGCAGCTTAGCTGCTATACATCTTAGAGGTTGTGTTTGCAACCTTTCTCTGCATCCCCTCTCTGCAAATCTTGTTGTTGCAGCACTTTTAAAATTCCTTTTCTTTTAATTTTTCCCAGGTTAAGAAATATACGCTATGGTTTCAACACGGTTCTTGTGATCCTGATCTGGCGTATCTTTATTGCAAGATCACAGATGGCAAGAAACATCTGGTACTTCGTGGTTAGTCTGTGCTACAAGTTCCTCTCCTACTTTAGAGCATCCAGTACTATGAGATATTGAAGTTGAGAATTCTAGCATTAGGACATCTATGCATATGGTGATCTAACTGCACAAAGTCTGTCAAACGTACTTAATCATCTCATCTTTTGTAAAGGCATCAAATCATCTTAAAGCTGGAGTGTGAAAAATATATACAGTGCAGTATATGTAATGTTTTTAATTGTCAATTTCCATGAAAATTGAGAAATAAAATGCTTGAATGAATGCCAGATCAAAACTGGCATTAAATAAATTTTAATATTAGCACTAACCCCTTCCCTGCCCCCCCCCCAAAAAAAAACCCCCAAAAAACTCTGACCTGAGAGAGGGTTTGGACCACTGACCAATGTAACTGTGCAGTTCTGTGAGGACCTGGATTTAAAGTTTGCCTTAACAACATTTATTTGCTCAAGACATCTAAATCAAAAGAGTAACAGGCTTACAACTGGGCAAAAACCAATACAAGAGAGAGTGGATCTTTTGTCAGTTGTTATTGGAGGCTCCTTTCTCTGGCTGTTCTGTTTTTGCTTTTGGCAACTATTTCTTCCATCTCCAAGTTAATCCAAGCATGTGATGGGAATTACTAAAAAAAAAAAAAAAAAAAAAAAAAAGGAAATTACTATTATAGTTAGAAGGCTGTCCAATCTAGTCTTAAGAATGCAAATTGACTCTTTTTTTCCCACAAATACTCTCATTAAAATTTGAGAGGCATTCGCATGTTTGAAAGCGGAACAGATTTTGTTGCAATTCTTTTTTTAAACAACATTTAAAAAGAATAAAAAAAGATGCCAGTGGTTGATTTACTCTTCACCCTAAATGATGGAACATCAATATCTGATGTAATAATTACACCCCTGATGTAAGGTATTAGGCTGTTCCAGAGGATACTTTGTATCCTTTGCTACTGTTTATAGCATTTGTAACTTAACTGTCTGGGCAAATTGTACTGTTTCCAGAAAGATGAAATGTTTTTGTTTTGCCAAAATATGGCATCATCAATACTTCAATGAGTGAAAATTTTATTTTTGAATGCAATTCTAGAAGCTTGACACTTGCATATGCCCCTTTTTAACTGGGGAAATACAGGAAGAGGAATCCTGCTTCAAAACTTTCGTACGTTGATTAACAAATGACACGTTTATTAACTTGAATATTTAGGAGTGAACTCTTGGCTAAATTTGAAGAAGTCTATTTTTGGCATGTTTTTGTTGTAGGGGAAATGCATTTATAAAAGTAGTAACTTACTTGCAAGAGAGCTGAATTCTATTTTAATGTAACAATTTGGACTTGCCCTTTAATTCTGTTGCATAGAATTTGAAGCCTTTTTTAGCATTCCTTTTTTTATTGACATACCAGTGTGGTGTACACTCATTAATGATCCATTTGTACTGTACTTAAATCAGCATATGTATTCTTGAATCAACTTGGAAAGATAAATTATGAACTAATAGTACAAAAATTTATATAATACGCTGACCTTGGTATTTTGATTTGTTGTCCTATTTGAATTAAGTGTGTAAAGAGGTTATTTTGCTATTCTTGTGGAAATACTAACTTTAAAAGCGAGCACCTTCTTTCGTGCAGGTGTATATCTAATTTCGGAATGATGATAGCTTCCTTGTTGAAGCTAAATATTATGTAGTAAGTAGTTAAACCATAGTTCCTTTTTAAGCCACTTATGTATATAATTCTTCAGTTATACAAATCTCTGGTCTAGGACCACACTGAAGTGTGAGAGACCTGTGGCAGAAAATTTAATTGTGGCTTCTTTGATTCAGGATGTTACACTTTCAAAATGTGCTATTCCGTATATATTTGTTATAGCTGCCTCTGGGCATCCTCTTTGAACCTGAAAAATATAGTTGGCAAAATGTAGCCTTTTGCAGAGGGTGCTTAGGATCTAATTACCCACCCCTCTCTGTTCTTTGCCAAGAGACATACTTACCAAGATTGAAGAAATGTCGGTTATGTTCACATATTTCTACTTTGTTTGACCCTTGTAACTCTGTCATTTGTAGATAGCTACTTTGGGGCTAATTCATTTTAAACTGAGGAAGCTATAACACCACTGAATTGATTCTCTGTTCCATAATGTTGAATACTGTTTACATTGAATAAATAATTGTGGATTAATTGCATAACTTGAAGAATTTATTTTCAGTCTCCACTATGTAAATTTGACTACTTCTAAAATCTGATGCATGTTAGCTTGAAGACCATGGCTGGCTATGCTATGGGTTAATCTTTTTTTAATTTGTTTTCCTTCTGTACATAAACTCATCACTTTTTTTTTTTTTGTTTTATCATTCCATGTCAATCAGTCACTCAAATTGTCTGAAGGCACTTTTTTCATATCGGGGTCTTACGGTGTTGCTGACTCTTCTTCTCCCCCCCCCCCCCCCCCCCCCCTTCCCCCCTTTTTT